CGTAATAAATAAATCCATGCCCGAGCCTCATGTTTTGCCAGTTAAAAGTGTCAAAAATCCTTTTTTTTGTTCATGACTGCCCCCGATTTCTTTCAATATACAAGGGATCTAGCTCGATACTTCAGAGGCCGGTTGCGGTCTTTACATAGCCCAAGCGTTCCTCGTCCTGCTCCACCACCATGGTTGAAGCCAGAGGCCCAAGCATCTGTTGAAAGGGTAATTAACATGCTTGAAGAAGCATTCAAATCTTCATGTATGTCTCACTTCTAGCCGGCCGATCTTCACTAAGTTTTGGACAGATACGACTACTTGGGACGTCCGGGACTATGCTGCGGACGTGTCACTGAGACAGAGTGGAAGCAATGAGGAGTTGGAGAAGAAACTCTTGGCACGATTCCCACCGATCTACGAAACAGCTGGGTCCGATATCCCCTACCTCGATCAACTGTGCCATATAACCGACTGGCAGGGTCACATTTTACTTTGGTACTTTCCTGAAATGTTCTCAGAACAGCTTCGGGTAATTACTTTCACTTCATTACACCCTTAGACTTTCCTCACTTTACTAGACATTTATTTGGGATCACACAGGTTCTTTGAGCCCCAAAAAGAGAAGTAATGGGACTTGGCGGGATCACCACCCTGAGAATGAAGGGGTCACTGGGGTTGTAAATTTATCACCCAGCTGGTTTTCTCAAGGACATGAAGGTCCCGAGGATCCACTGCGCGCATCAGCCGATATTCAGGAACCTGCCAATTCAACCTACCTCCAGAATGTCCTATTGGCCAATGCAATTGTTGGCGCAATCTATGCCATCATACAACCTGATCTTTTTGAGTCCGGTTTAGCCACCTTTGAGAAGCTTGCCAATCATGCTGAGGCATTGGATGATCCTATCAATATTGCTCTTCGTGTTTGGGCCACTCCCTTCACCGGTCTTTCAGTCATCCTGAACCGAGAGACGATTGATCACCAAGATCTAAAGGGGTATAGGGAGTCTTTTGACTTGTTGCTCACCATCGGAAACTACACAGGAGGCTGGTGTCACTTAGCCGGGCTCGGGTTTAGCCTTGTTTATGACCCTGGGACGGTTGTTGCCTTGGCCGGCAATGTTTTACAACATGGTGTTTGTCCTGTGCTGGGTGACCGGGCCTGTTTAGCTCACTTTTGGCACAAAAAGGTTGGGGAAAGGCTTGGGGTGAAGAGGCCTCAGTGGTTGACCATGGCAGACTTGATATATAATTTGTCTGGTAACTAATAAATAATGAATTACAAATCCGACCCAAACTTGCTCGGCCTCAGCACCAATATGTTCAAGGAGACGGGGGGCTTGACAAACCCGATCCCGGGCTTTCTCCACCTGGGTTTCTATGTGCTGAAAACCGGTTCTTGTGATACCTCATTAGGTCAATAAGAGCAGACTGCTGTACAATTTCCTCCCAAACCGAAATCTCATTGGTGACCCACTCTTCCTCGGCCTCAGCACGCTTGATACGTTCAAGGAGACG